TGGTCTATACACTAAGTAAACATCAGTTTACAACACCTGTCCATCAAAAGTTTACCGTTTTATACACTAAGTAAACATAAGTTTACAATATCTGTCCATTAGAAGTTTACTGGTTATACACTAAGTAAACATCAGTTTACAACACCTGTCCATCAAAAGTTTACCGTTTTATACACTAAGTAAACATAAGTTTACAACATCTGTCCATCAGAATTTACTGGTCTATACACTAAGTAAACATTAGTTTACAACAGCTGTCCATCAGAAGTTTACTGTTCTATACACTTAGTAAACATTAGTTTACAACATCTGTCCATCACAAGTTTACTGGTCTATACACTAAGTAAACATTAGTTTACAACAGCTGTCCATCACAAGTTTACTGGTCTATACACTATATAAACATCAGTTTACAACAGCTGTCTATCAGAAGTTTACTGGTTATACACTAAGTAAACATTAGTTTACAACACCTGTCCATCACAAGTTTACTGGTCTATACACTAAGTAAACATCAGTTTACAACATCTGTCCATCAGAAGTTTACTGGTCTATACACTATAGATCAGTTTACAATAGCTGTCTATCAGAAGTTTACTGGTTATACACTAAGTAAACATCAGTTTACAACATCTGTCCATCACAAGTTTACTGGTCTATACACTAAGTAAACATTAGTTTACAACATTTGTCCATCACAAGTTTACTGGTCTATACACTAAGTAAACATCAGTTTACAACACCTGTCTATCACAAGTTTACTGGTCTATACACTAAGTAAACATCAGTTTACAACACCTGTCCATCAGAAGTTTACTGTTCTATACACTTAGTAAACATTAGTTTACAACATCTGTCCATCACAAGTTTACTGGTCTATACACTAAGTAAACATTAGTTTACAACACCTGTCTATCACAAGTTTACTGGTCTATACACTAAGTAAACATTAGTTTACAACAGCTGTCCATCACAAGTTTACTGGTCTATACACTAAGTAAACATCAGTTTACAACATCTGTCCATCAGAAGTTTACTGTTCTATACACTTAGTAAACATTAGTTTACAACATCTGTCCATCACAAGTTTACTGGTCTATACACTAAGTAAACATTAGTTTACAACAGCTGTCCATCACAAGTTTACTGGTCTATACACTAAGTAAACATCAGTTTACAACAGCTGTCTATCAGAAGTTTACTGGTTATACACTAAGTAAACATTAGTTTACAACATTTGTCCATCACAAGTTTACTGGTCTATACACTAAGTAAACATCAGTTTACAACAGCTGTCTATCACAAGTTTACTGGTCTATACACTAAGTAAACATCAGTTTACAACGGCTGTCCATCAGAAGTTTATATACACTAAGTAAACATCAGTTTACAACAGCTGCCCATCACAAGTTTACTGGTCTATACACTAAGTAAACATCAGTTTACAACAGCTGTCCGTCAGAAGTTTACTGGTCTATACACTATACGTCAGTTTACAACAGCTGTCTATCACAAGTTTACTGGTCTATACACTAAGTAAACATCAGTTTACAACAGCTGTTCGTCAGAAGTTTACTGGTCTATACACTTAATTGTACTTGTTGTTAAAAGCATATTATTTTTGGAGTACAAGCTCTAACAAGTGTATCCTATTTCTATCAGAAAGGAATGACATGTAACATTGGAAAGTTTGAAAAAGTAAGAAAACACTCAACGACAGCTCTTTCATTTGCTAGAAAATTGTTACAATTTCCAGAAAATTCTTTTAGATGTGTAGTTAAAAGATAATTTCTATGAGGATATAGAGATAGGAAAAGTAAGTCTTATAAGGCCTGTTAAGTTGGTTCATAGCAAGGTTAGGTTTGAAAAAGTTTGGTGACAATCTGTCACAGCATAAATGGTGTCAAAGTCATATTTGTGATTTCAAAACAGTTTTCAAACAAAAGACATTCTTCATACAGATACACTCATGGTTACTGTAAAGTCAGATACATTGGGGAAACAATAGACCAGTTCAAGTACATTTGGACTGCTCAGAACTAGCCGAGTTCTTGTACTTTCCTATTAATGTACACAACAAATACACAATTTTTATTGATAATTTCAAAATTCTAACCTTAGGAACATTGCTGGTATTAAACCCAAAATGTTTAAATGATCTTGAATGAACATTAATTTTATTTTTAATGTAAATATTTTTTTTACACTTTATTAATTGCTTTAATGTTTGTGTCATTTAGATTAAGACATGATACTTTGTTATATTGAAAATATCGTGAATCAGACATAATTGAGTCAGGAAATATTTGAAAAGTTGTGTGTACTGTGAATCATGTTTTCACACTGTTATCTTTATTTTTTTTTTCAAAGGAGTGGGTTTCCCGTTGCAAGAAATAAAGGAAAACGAAAATCTGATAAAACAGCAGATCATGTTGTGAATGACGACTATCCCTTGAAGCAAATCAAAGAATATTCTTTAAGGAATTCCGTTAACAACAGACTGACCACATCGACACCTTGGGTCAGTTCAACCTTAAAAGAACTTTCTAAACTTACACTCACTCCAATTGAATTTCTTCAAGAGAAAACAAAAAGCGACAACACTAAGTCAGAGAGTTTTAGTACTCATTCAAAAAATATGAAATCCTACAAAGAAGAAAGAATGCAAAGTCAAAAGGTATTCAAAGTAAATTTGACATCTGAAATTCTGGCTAAGTCCAAGAAAGAAGCTGTGCAAAAACCAAATAAATTCTTCAAAGGCAAATGTGAAAATACGAATATTTCAGTAAACTTCTCTTTAGGAAACGCATCACAACCAAATTTTATTGAAGAAGATCCTTATCAGTTCATTTCAAGTCAAAAAACACCAAAGAAGAAAAGAAACAAGAGAAGAGTGATTAACAGAGGGAAGCAGAGGAACTTGAGCATGACTAAAAAAGGAAAAGAGACTCTAAATTCTTTCAAAGAAAACCAAGTGATTAAGGGTTCATCTGAGTTCAATAACCAAAAGCCTAATGCAGTAGAATTTTGTTCCCTGGAAGAAGTGGTTCTCTCTTCTTGTTCTGATCAGGATTACATACCTCCTAAGATGTACAAACCCTGTGTTGAAGTAGGCAGGAATGATAAACCGTGTCTAAGATCAACTCGTCAAGTAAAAAAGTATTGTGCACAAAATCAAGATCTAGATTCTACTTCAGGTGATGACCAAGCCTATAGTGGTCATTCTGAAGATAACCAACCTCAAGAAATTCCCTTGGTAAAAAATCACATCTCTTATTCCTCCAAGAGAATCAATAAAAATACATCAAAACATAAACTATCAAATAGAAATTTTACAAAACCAATTGGAGATTCCAGCCCTTCTCTCGAGCACGTTGAAGTTTCACAAAAGTTTCCAAGGCTGAACTGCTCTCCAAGCAAAGAAAAAGTAAATGTGAGAAACAATTGTATGAAAGTAAAGGAGCTTCATTATCAAGAGATGGTAAAAAGGGACAAAGCTATCAGCAGTTATCAATCACAAAATCTAAAGGTCAGAAGGGTAAAGCTGGAGATGTAACGGAAACAAAGAAACAGAAGAAGGAAGTACGTCAAGAAACTCTTCATTCACTACCTGTTTCTTCAGAAGATAATTTTGAAGAATCTTACTTGTTTTGTACTCCAGCTTGTAACATGGCTGAGCATCTTGCTAAAGATTGTACAACAACTTGTACAGAAGAATATAGTGAAGATCCTATAGAGTTGGATTCTACACTAAAACAACGGGTAGAAAAGGGTGGACGAAGTAAAAACAAGAGGAGAAGCCGACAAGAAGAAAGTAAAATAAGTAATAGTAACCTTCCATCAACTCAAGAAAAGGTTATTACCTTAGTGCAAAAGATTGAAGAAGCTGAAGTTTATGAACTCCATTTTGAAACTGACAAAAGAGATATCAGAAATGTTCAATCTGAAAACAACTTGGAACTAAAAGCTAAAGGTCTGAGGAGTTCAGGTATTTGTTTGCGAAGATAACACAGATATACAAGAAATAAATGTTCAATATAAAGAGACAGAAGATTCTGTTGATGATTTAGTGGATCAGGGTAATGAAACACATCAAATACTAACCAAATATCTTGTTGATAATTCAATTGTTTATGATGATGAAAGGCCAAAAGATGACAACCAGTTAGAGATCAAAAATACTACTGCTCAGTCTTTTGTTAAGAATGATATCCGACAAAATATCAAGGATATTCAAACATCAAGTCAAATTGATGCAAGTCCAACTTGCAGCAAAACGTTTTTAAAATTGACTGGGAATAGTCAAACTTTAGGCCAGCAACCCCCAAAACATTGTGCTCTGACTCAGATCCAAAAGTCTTCAAGGCAGAAAAAGAGTAAAAAATCTTCATTTCAAAGACCATCAAAAATGTGTAGTAATCAACAGTTTTCAGTAAAAAATTCCTTCACTAAGACACAGAAACTCCAGACTAGAAACCCAGCAGAAGTTCAGGTGTTAACTTCTACAGATAAAGTGCTTGTAAGTTCGGGAGAACCTGAAAAAGTGAATGAAATGAGTGAACATTTAATTACTGTTTCTGAATCCAAGACTTCTGTTAAACAGGAGAAACTTTCGTCACTTAAGCAATCATCTAGAAAACGAAGTGTTGACTTAAGGGTAAAAAGCTGCCTTGAAAGAAACGACAGTTGCGAGTCTAAAATGACGTTGGAAAATGTGCAAGATATACACCTAAAGAAAGAACATGATGGAGCAGAACCAGAATTGTACCCAAAACCAAACATAAGATTTATAACTACTGAGCTTCGTTCTCCAGGTAATGAAAAGGAAGTTGAAAGAAGTCAATCTAGTGCTTCAGATTCACTTGAAATTTCTAGCATAGATAATTTTGTTTTGTACAAAACACCAGACAGAGGAAAGACAAGAGTACAAGATGAAGATGGAATGGAAAATTTCAACTGTAGCTTGGTAAGAGACTGTATAGTAGTGTGTCAGAGAATAGATACAGATGGAAGTAAAAGCGTAAATGAAGGAAAATGGATTTCAAACTGTCAATTTGAGAATGGACTTGTCACCAAAATGTATGATGCTATTCACATGACTACGCAGAGTTTGAACAACGTTACTCATTTACAGATGGACTGTTTAGATGAACCTTGTGCCTCTCCTTGTGCACAGGTTGATTCTTCAGATAAAACACGTCTCTCTCTTTGTCCACAAACTGACTCTTTAGATAAAACACACATCCCTCCTTGTGTCAAGGTTGATTCTTCAGATAAAACATGTCTTTCTGTTTGTCCACAAACTGATTCTTCAGATAAAACACATGTCTCTCCTTGTCTACAAACTGACTCTTCAGATAAAACACACGTCCCTCCTTGTGTCAAGATTGATTCTTCAGATAAAACACACGTCTCTCCTTGTCCACAAACTGACTCTTCAGATAAAACACACGTCCCTCCTTGTGTCAAGATTGATTCTTCAGATAAAACACACGTCCCTCCTTATGTCAAGGTTGATTCTTCAGATAAAACATGTCTTTCTGTTTGTCCACAAACTGACTCTTCAGATAAAACACACGTCCCTCCTTGTGTCAAGATTGATTCTTCAGATAAAACACGTGTCTCTCCTTGTCCACAAAATGACTCTTCAGATAAAACACGTGTCTCTCCTTGTCCACAAACTGGCTCTTCAGATAAAACACGTGTCTCTCCTTGTCCACAAAATGACTCTTCAGATAAAACACGTGTCTCTCCTTGTCCACAAAATGACTCTTCAGATAAAGCACGCATCTATCCTTGTTTACAAGCTGATTATTTGTCTAAAATTCATACTACTTCTGTTAGTGAACAGAATGATGATTTAAATGGACAACATACTATATATTTCCCACTTAAGGATTTGGTAAATTCAAAGAAACAGGAAAGTTTATGGTGGAACAAAAGTTGTGTAAATTTGCAGTTATCTTTAGTAGATGAAAACCTTGAGGTAACTGTACTGTCTATTAAACCACAACTTTTGGATAAGGAAACATATATAGATAGACAAAGCTCCACAACTCTCGGAAGTGAATCTGTGCCACATTATAAAAAAATGGATGTTGCAGCTCAGGCTGATTTTGCAGTTGAAAAATCACAAGAATCCTGGAAAAGCAGTGTTCTAGAACTAGATTTAAAAAATGTCAGAGAAAGAAAGTTTATGGATCTTCTGCTTCCAGAAAACTTGAAAGAATCCAGATCTGTGAAGCTTGACTGGAAGGGAAAAGCTCTTTCACAAAGTGTCGATAAACCAGGAGACTCTTCTGAACCAAAGCTTTTAAGAAAAATTAATGAAGAAATTGAACTGACTAAGGATCACTCTAGAACTTCAGTAATGAACAAGCTGATAAAATATCCTAAACCTGCTGTTTCAGATCAAGTTAATGGTTTCAAAAAACCAGTACAACAAATTAATCCCATGGTTGCAGAAACCCCGGAAGAGTCTTTAAAAATTAACCTCCCAGTAGCAGATGTAAATGAAAAAATACGACACAAAGATACTTTAAGTGTTGACACTGTTGAAGAAGGCCTATCATCATCACAGAGCTTACTGGTAAATTTTGTAGATCCTGATCAGATGTTTGCTCAAACATCCCATTTAGTTTGTACAAAAAACTCGGGAGGTCAAGACCTGTCCCAAGTCGCTAAAAGTTTTTCAAAATCATTGTCACAAAAATTTACAAATGAATATGTACCAGAAGCTAGTCTTTCATCTGTTCAACAGGAAAGTTCTGATGAAGCAGGTCAGAGTTCAAGTGATCATGAAAGGCAGCACCTTCAGGGGAAAATCAGTCCTCTGAAAACAGTTTCTAAAAAAAAGTTCTTTGATCAGACTTCTAGATTCAACAATGACTCAATATGTTCTGTTAATGAATGTGATTATGATAGTAACTCCCAGGCTGCTGAAACAAATCCTCTTATCACTTCAAACAAAGATGTGTATCAAATTAATGGTCACGAGATACCTCAAGGTAGAAGCACTGCTGTTAAAGATATTCAAGATAACCACAAATGTATCCTGATTTCTCAAGACAATAAAAATGGTAAACAGACACCTCCAGTCAATGATGGTATTCAGGAAGGTGGCAATCATATTTCAAAACATTTAGATGAGTGTGGTGGTGCTAATGATGTAACATACCTCTCTAGTGATGACCAGACTGCATATAAAGAAGCATCTCAAATCAAAAATGATTCTAAACTACACAAGAATATTCTTGATAATCACAGCCTGTTAAGATTAGCAACGGACAATCAAGCCTCTCTAAACCAAATAGATGACGATCAAACGTATCAAGTTAGGAATGATCAGATGTCCAAAAATAACCAAAACCAGGTCAGTGACCTTCTGGAATCCCAGGTCAGCGATGATGGTGATGACCCATACGTGTTGTTAGACTATCAAAGAATGACCTCAGCTGGAGGCAGTGAAATGATTCCTCGAGCATATAATCATTCTCTTAACTTTTCATTTGATGAGGACAGCTTTCTTATTTGTGAAGACATTAAAAGCCTAGAGAATACAAATGTTTTATCAAAAATACACGAGAAAACACTTTCAGTAAATTACTTAGAAAAATTGGGTGATAAATCTAAAAATACTTTACATAACTCTAGCCAGCAAATCTTTGATCATCTAGGTGTTGAACAGAACACTGAAATATCAGAAAAAATTCATAGCAGTGAACTTATAGATCACAAAAACTTATGCAGTGACACAGAATTTTATGGAAAGGAATTTGATGAAGAAAATTCCATGGCATGTGAAAGGAATACTGATAAGCCACTCTCGAGTTATATGAATTGTATTCCTAACATGTGGAATGATGCATGTAGCAGTCAAACATGTGTTTCATCACCAGAAATGCTTGAGTGTTGCAGTTATAGAAGTCCAAAAACTAAGGAGAATCATGTTATTAGCAAATGTTGTGAATGATAAAGATGATGTGAAAAGTAACTTCAGTATTTGCTCTAACGTGTTGAACATTAACGAGAGTGACCATGACGAAAACAAACGGTTTCTACATTCTACTTTGAAAGTAAAGGAAACAGAAAAATGTACCTCACATGACGTGTCTGGTAGTAAACATGGCGATGATGAATCACAGCTCTTTCAAGAGCTTGTTTGTGACAATGATGCCTCCTCCTCAGATGCAGACTGGATGTTTGCAGAAGAATTAGTTGCTCCACTAGAAGTGTTAGGAAATGTTTTGACGAAATCGCATTCATTTGAACAGAAAGACACAAAAGTAGCGGTATCTGAAAATTCTGAACATTGTGTTGAGCTCCAAAGTGAACTTTGTACTAAAGACATTCAGAACTCATCTGAGATTATTTTTCGAAGAAAGAGATTGTTCCCTTCTTCAAGAAGCAACAGCCAGTTATCTCGTGGAGTTAACCTGTCACCGCGATGTATTTTGAATGATCGAGACATGCAACAGAGAAACAATTTAAGTTACTGTGTGGAAAGTTCTGGTGATCAGCATATTGATCAGAGTGTATTTCACAGTCAGAAGTTTAAGAGAGTAAAAAAATTCCAAAGAATAAGAAAAATCTTTGATTCCTCTGACTCAGAAGAGAAAGACTATTACCCAAGTAATTTGATGAAAGAACATCATCATCTCTTGCTTGATCAGTCTGGTGAAGAGGATTATCGTCTGTCTCAGAAGTCAGAGGAACTTCTCAGTCGGCCCTTCCAACGTGGTAATTGTCAGGAGTTGAGCAGTCATACTGTAGATTCTGGTAAATATAACAACCAACGTATTCATGAAAATAAGGACCACAAAGATCGTCTTGACAAGTATTCAAATCAACAGTGTGAAGAAGAGCCTGATTTAGAATTTAACAATTTAGATGATGAAACGTGTGAAGAACCAACAACAGATCTCCCACCGTGCTCAGATCCTATTATTATTTTGTCAGAGGAAAGCCAGACATCTGGAAATGAAGATGTTGATGATTCAGAAGCAATGAACCGAGTGATAGCTAACGTCCAGGCAGACTTGAATTGTAAACAAACCAGTCACAGTTTCAAGAACTTGTCAGACCAAGGTATGTAGCAACATAATATATTTTAATTTAGTTTTAAGTTCTTACTCTGTCTTTTACCAAAATTGTTGAATCCTCCCAGAAAGAATTTATTGTGATGATGCAATTATGTACTATACTAAGCTAGAGAACCAATTTCTGATACAAGAATCTAATCCACAATTGTATTGTTGATCGGTTACGAACAATGCCATAACCTATGCCGTTATTTGTATAGTCGGAGCGAAAAAGAATCTACAATAACAAAACGTCTCTCTCTCTATCCCATGTGGTTTCACCATTTTGTATTTAATGTAACAAGTTTACATCCTATCAGTATTTACTCTTTTGTATGTACAGACTAGAAATTCATCTAGTACAGGTTAGAAATAAAAAACAAAGATTGGACAGTAACTAGTAAAAAATTCAGGGAAGTTCAATAAAATCAAGTTGTGACTTAGTCTGTTTGTAATAATGTAATAATTATTGTGTAGCTAATTGCTTCTTGCAAAATACATTGAATGAAATATTTTTGTATTAATTTAATGAAAATGTCTAAAAGTGACCAAGAAAAGTAATCTTATTTTGCTGTTTTTTACTTGTGACACAATTTTAGCATATAAGCATGTCTTGAAAATTTCTTAAGCCAATCAAGGCTCCATTCGAACTGACAAAGCAGAAATAAGTATACATTTTAATGCTGTATTTTTTTAGTTACGTGTAGTTTTCAATTATACATTTATTTATAGTGATAATCCAGTAAATCAATCTGATAGTAGACCTGTTTTTGACATTTAATGATAATACAATAAACTGAGGCAGATTCTTCATATCTATGTGACATAAGTACGTAATAAAATTTGTAAATGTTAATTTTAGAGATAAAATTATACTTGTTAGCAAACAAATTTAACCAATATTCAGAACTCTGATTTTTGTCCAACCTAATTATGTTTGCATGTCTTGATTTCCTAAAAAAAAAAAGGTTCAGAAATATTTTCCATTTTTGCCTTTCATTAAATAATGTGTAAAATACTGAATTTAGTAACACCCTTTGCCAAACTTTGTACACTTAAGGTTTAGGCCTGATATGATTGGTCAGTATTGACTCGGTCCATGATAATAGTTTAAAATCACACGAGATACCTTTCAGAAGCTTAGTAATTCCATATTTACATATCTTTTTTTTATAGCTGCACCCAGTGAAGAGCCAGCCAGCTTGAGTGGTTGGTCAGGAATAACTGATGTTTCTTCTCAGGTCAGAACATTGTTACTACATATTTTGATTTTCACAAATTTTACACAGTATGTTTGTGTGAAATGGTGAGAAGTAAATTAATAATGTGAAAAAATAAAAATCATGTGCCACATAAAATATAATTATTGAGCCAGCTTTTTACAGAACAGAATTATTAAATTAGATCTTTAAAACCTATTTCTAGTTATAAGAATAATAAAAATATTAATACCAACTTTAACTTTACTTAATGTACATATGCACTAATGTGTGTTGTGTGTGCATGTAATGCGTTATGGGTATGGTATTCAAGAATATACTAGAAGTTTCTTTTCCCTTTCTAGTTTAAATAAGTGAACATTTCCTGTTCACTGAGAATTTCAGAATTCCTCACATGTATGCATTGTTAGAAGGTACGTTAGACAATAGAGGATTAGTTCTGAAATCTAGATAAACTGCTTTTGCCCTAGATACTCATTGTTCTGGGTCATTCTCTTTTAGTGTCTCGTGTTTTTTCATGGGAAGGATTGTTTTAAGGATTCATAGTTGAATACATTATGTAAAGGACAATGGTGATCTTTTCCACTGACAGACCAGATGATGCATTTGAGAATACCACATAGATACAAACTATGCATTACTTTCTTTATTTGCAACATGTAAGATATATTATGGCTATACCAAAAGGCATGTGTGTAAATATGCTTTATTTTATTTATCTTCACATACACGAGCTTTACTTTACGAGGATTAATTTTGATTCCATGTTCATGTTTGGGTATTATTTTCACTTTTTTCTTTCTATAGGCAGAAAGTCAGATGAAGAAAGAGATTGAACAGATGTACAAAAAAATCATGATTTTGGAAGCTCAACTCTCGAAGTCTCCAAAGAACGATATTGAAGGTGAAAAAACAAAGTGAACCAAATGTGTATGATAATGATATAAATTTAGTTATTTAAAAATAAAAGTAGACAGAAACTGTGGGAGAATTGATGATTACTTGTACTGGGGTCATGCGTTTTGTAAGTACTGATAACACGTGTAATACATGTTAAGAATGTTTAAAGATTTGACTGTGAAAACAAAATGGTTCCCTTAATTTTTTTTTAAATCTGTTTGGAAAGAGTTATTTCAGAAAAGTTAAAATTCTTTTTTTTTTGTATAAAAAATTGCTAAGGAGAAGTAAACTGAATAAATGTTAAATGACAGATTTTTCTATTATTAATTCAAGATTATTGTGACAAATTACTGTTGGCAAGTTATTAATATACTGGGTGCTTGAAACATCATGAGATCGTGGAAGACAACACAACGTACATGGTCATGTCATGTGTAATGATATCTACAATTTTTGAAACATCTAATATAACATTTTGTTTATTGCTTTTTTTTATCACAAGTATTCAGTCTCTTAAGATACGTTTCATGTATCAGGAGTATGAAAAGAAGATTCATGTTTTTCAAGAAATATATTACAAATTTAATTATAGTAATGGATGTTACACTTTTCTCTCATTAAATTAGTCAGGTCATCTTCAGTTGTTTTTTTTTTATATTTGTTGATGCAATGCTTCCTAAATACGTTTTGGAATCAGTAGTAGTTATTTTAACCTCTACAGCTTCTTGTGTTTCTGAAAACATTCCAGCAAAGTTTATCTTAGGTTTGTTAATAAGGTAATCATGGAATTTTTATTAATTTTTCAGTGACACAGTGTAGCACTGGTAAGTTGGTCTCTACTGAAGGAAACTCTGACTGAGAGAGTTGGTAGATTAGACTCCCTCTGAAGGAATGTAATTGTTTTATTATATCATATATTTTGTATTTGTCATGTTTTGTTGTTTTCCTTCTCTCTCAAAAGATGAAGTACTAATTAAAGTTTGCCAGAAAGTTTACTTATGATGCAGATATCTTCATAAACTGAAGAGGAGTTAGACTTGATTTAATTCAACTTACCAGATTGTTGTTTAACGTTCTTGATTGTCGTGTTTTTCTGAATGTGGCCATTTTGTATCATTATTTCCTTCTTCACTTTTCAAGCACATTTTTTTATAACCTTTGTTGGATTGATTTTTATACAGTGAATTTGTACAGCATATTCCTAGATCAGATGGATTTCTCTAAATTATTCAAATCATCTCTCCCTCAGTCTAAACTTTGAACAGAAATTGACCAATCACTGTAAGAATGGGCCTTATGTTATGATTATCTCAACTTCATCTTAATGGATATTTCATAAATTAATAGATATTTTTAATTTATTGAAGGAATGATTACCAAACTTCCCAGTTGTACCACACAGACAGTTGAATTAAGGTTGAAGGGCATGTTGTTGAGTATGTATACATACATGTGGTTCTGTGTGAGTTTTATTGAAGCTGTGCACTTAAAATCCATTGGGTTGGATGGGGATACAACAAATGCAGTACAGTTATAGTCTTTAAATTCTAGCTCTGAACAAGGTCAAGTTGATTCCTCGAAGTAACTCTCAAAACCATTATATCACATTTTTCCATCAATTTTATGTTGACTTGTAGCTGTGCATGAAGATCAAAATTGTTTCTTTACCTTTCTGCCAGAGTAGACTTGTTCTAATCTAATCTGTTATTTTTTTTTAAGCTTTTATAATTTTGTAATGTTCAGTGATGTTCAATTCCGCAGGAAAGAAGAATGAAGATAATTCGTTCTCTGCTAAAGACGTTAATCGAAAAACAATTTCAAGTAACCCCAGAATCAAAAATCAAACTTTTGTTAGTAGTCAACAAAAATTATTATACTCTCAGAAGACTAGAAGACGTACTGATGATCAAAGATTGGCTCTGAGGAACCTTGGGACCAAGGAAGACGTCTTTGAAGATTTTGCTAGAAGAGGTAACCTAATCAGCAATACACCTGAAGAAGACCAAGATAGTGTTGTACATCATAGCCACAGTTTTAAAGATGAGACGCGCAGTTACTATGGGCAAGTGGATGTTTTTAATAGCCATAGTAACAATGGAAAAGAAGTCATTTGTTGTAACAATAGGGGATGTAGCCAGATATGTGAATCCAACCTGGTAACTCAGACAAACAAAACCAGTTGTGAAAAATACCACAGTCAGGAAGTAAAGTCAGAGAACAGTGATGATGATAGTGATGATTTGTTCAACACAGTTTCTCCAACCCCATCAAAATCAACCTAGTGAAGCACTAAAAGATACTAAAGTGTATATCTGTCACAAGTGTCCGGAGAAAACTTGTTTAGATTCTCAGTCAATGTGTTTGGAGACAGATTATTATCAATATGTTAATATTAATAAGGAAAATATTATTGTATGTTAAATCTGAGACAAAAATAATCTAATCTATGGCATTAAAACATAGTTGTCAGTAATAATATAAAAGAAATAGTATCAAAATGATTAACTAAATCAGTCATTTCTATTAAGACAATATGTAGATACAGTTTTAATTTTGTTTGATAAAGAATAAAAATTTTATTTTGATTAATATCTAGTAATAATATTAGTGTTTAGAAGCATCGTGGTTAAAATATCTAAATAATAAAAAAACTTGCCATTTGAATTTGAGGAAATCAAGTATTACCAGTTATTTTAATCTTGAGCTTGTATGTGATCACCTATTATGATATTATTAATGCTTGTCACATGATAATGTTTTTTTATCCCAAAGTCCTTATATATATATATATATATATAACACATGTAAATAAAGAAAAACAAAGTGCCCAAACTTAAGTGTTTTTTTTTTGTTTTTTAGGGGGTAGGTATGAAGTGTTACTCAAAAGGACATAAATTGTAGGTGACAGTTTGAATAGAAAACGGGGGGGGGGGGGTACTGTTTGTGATAAGTTTAAGTGATGATAACTAAAACCTACACATACTCTGGAGTTTTAAAGAAAGTGCTGGTACTCAAACGTTTGAAATTGTGCAGTGCTGGTACTGTGTGTACCAACAAGTTACGGAACATTTGAAGCACTGCATCAGCTAGATCTAATAAAGGTACTGTACTTCCTAAATATTCTGTAGAAATGCAAGTTAGGATTTTTCAAATGTGTTAACTTCAATAAATGATGAACGTCTAATGGACTGATACAAAACCTGCCACCAGGCCAGTGCAGTACCATGATACTAGCTAAATGGACGTGTTAAGACGGACAGAAGGGGCTCCAGGAGCAGTATAATACCTCCTGACACACAAAATATGTTTAATTACATTTTCTTAAAGTAAAAAAGGTAAAGCTAAAAATTGTTAAGTATATATATATATACACAAACATAACATTATGCACTGTTGGCAAAGTTAGTTTGTTACATGAGTGAGTGGATAACAGATAACTTTTTCTACGAAGATATTCTACTATTAATTAGCAGATAATACTTTATTTTACTGAAATTATAACATTAAAGTTGACGTTCACTAAATAATTTGTATGTTTCCATGTTAGATAAAAACTCAAGCAGAAATTGAAATTGAAGGATTCTTTAGGATAGTTAATATATAAGAACTTACATTGGTAAAAACTGAGTTAGGTTCACTCGGTTGTTATTTCATAACTACAGATTTAGCGAATAATTTTACACACATTAACTTTTCCATAAATTATATCTCACTTTTGAGGCCTTTTTAAGTTAATCTGTTGCCTAACTTTAAACTTCAGTCCTTTCATTGGACTTGTATCTTTTAAATAAGCCTACAGCCAGAGTATAAAATAAAGTTGATGAATAAATAAATCATTGTTTTTAAAGATAATAGTACTACCAGACGATGTTAAACCTAATAGAGTAGCAGACGATTTTACGCGTTCACATCACGTGCTGTGCTCTGTGTGTGAAGCATGTAACATCATAACAACCTTTCACGCCTTCAAACATCTCTACCCAACTTTCAATCCATAGGCAGTTCGAAACCTTATAAAAACGGGGCATTAACCAAGATTTCGGGTAGTTAAAATCGTATTTCCAGTCTTATGTAACTCAAATCGAGATAAGTGTATGAATAACAAGTAGTTTTAGGAGAGAAGTATAAATCTTTGGCTGGCTGCATCCTACGTCCGTGGCTCAGTGATAAACCAGCTTATTTGGCTGAAAATAGGGTTTCAATACCTACTGTAGGCAGATCAATAAATATCCCATTGTTTAGTTTTGTTCTTAACAAACAATTTTCAGCCACCTAGCGGAAAACACGTAATAACAGACTCTCATAGGCTTTAGACAATAGATTTGCAGTAAGAAATCCTCAAAATAAAATAATTTCGAAAATATTTTTGACTTTTTATTGTTGTTAGTAAGACTCAATTTTAGTGATAAATAAAATCTGCTGACCAAATTACCGAAAATGTTTATATGGAAGAGTCATATCTATTCCCCATCCTAGAGGTGAAATTCTTTTGAAAGAAGTAAAGGTACTCACCTTTGTCAGAACCTTATTTCACATTTTATAAAGTATCAAGTTTTCTGCAAGTTAACGACACCTACTCATGCACTATTTACGTTGAACTGTTAAGATGTACAAAACAAAAAAAAAAATGAAACTAATAAAATTGTTACCGGTTCCAACATAGAAAATGTACTCCATTGCAACTCTAAATAGAACCGATAGTGAGTACCAGAAGTTCACCTCTGCCTTGTTCCATAAGGAAATATTCAATAATTTGATAAAAAATATATATCATAATACTTATTTTATTTTGTAGTTTAAATAATATTTTCTACAACCACAGTGTGATTACTTACTTATTTCTAGCACCCTCTGTTATACCTAAACCTGTGGTGGTTATAAAACTGTGATAAAATTGTTATCATTATCTTTGAAACCTTACTTTTTTATATCCAAAGCCACGTTAATTGTATGTATTCCCGAGGTAATGAAGGTTTATCTTTTCAACCTCCCAGTGGCTCAGCGATAAGGCTGATGGTTCGTAACACTAAAAGCCGGGTTTTGATACCCCTGATGGGCACAACACAGATAACCCATTTTGTAGTTTTGTGCTTATCAACGACAACAAAAAAACTTAAAATGAGTGGGTGTATAAATATAGTTTCAAAAGTGGCGCCCCCGAAATCCCGATGGGAACCAGGAACAAAATCTGATGTCATATTCGAGTTCAGTAACCCTGCAACCTAGTTCTAGACCCCATCATGTTGGGCTCGTACAAACGTGGATAGTAATGCTTGGAGATGGGTAATGAAGAAACTCTCTTAATATAAGTTTAACATAACAGCAAATGTACAACGTTTCAACAAGGTTTTGTCATCATAAGGTACGGGGGGGATAGGCTTTATAGATAAAAACATTTGAGTCCGCCTGCCAAGTTTGGTCTTGCTAGCACTAGAACTGTGAAAGGTTTGCTTGTAGATAAGCGCAAAGCTACACATTTGGCTATCTGTGCTGTGCTCACCATGGGTATTAAAACCCAATTTTTATCGTTATAAATCTTTAGACTTTCCGATGTGCAACAGGGGGTCACTGTGAAAGGAATTTACAAACAAAATAAAATTCAGGAACACACAGCGTGAATTAAAATAAGATAACAAGATTTCTTAAATAATTCATGCACAAGATATATTTAAGCTCAGTATTCTGATTTATAATCAACTAATTATATCAAAAGTACTAGAATGTAAAAGAATAGTGAAATAATTTTAAACATTTTACATTGCGTACAAGAATTCGAGGTGAAGTCACTATTTTTATTTAACATAATATTAACAATAAAAGACAGCAAGGGACTTTTGGGTTCATCTAATCTATCCTCTTCACTGAATTAAACTACTGAAACCTTTAAAAAAACCCTCAAAGCCAACCCTTATCATTCAAATATTTATAAAGCTCTCCCTTAAACTATCTTAAATTAACTGCATCCACCACATTTGAAGGCAACCCGTTCCAAAGACCAACTACCTTGTTAGAAAAACAAAGTTGTATATACATCTTCTCAGCTTTTTCCAATGTAGCCGGAAATTGTTTGATATTTATAAGACGAAACTTGTGTAACAGGAATATACTAAAAAAAAAAAGATTTAGGCAGAGTAAAACTTAGAGATCGTAAAAATATGTATAACACAGACGAACGTCCTTTAGACTGAAAGGTAATTAATTACCTGCAATCTCCTTGAATATGTAAAGCTACATTTGACAACGGGGCACAGATTGTATTAGGTCGTCAAGAAATTAGTGTCATTTTTTCAGATGAAAAAATACCGAACAACTTATATATATATATATCAAAACAAAACATTTATTAAATGAAATAGTTTCCATTCTTATCGATGCTTTTCCATCTTACAGTCAGGTTGTTAATGCCCTGATTAAAGAAATCACTTGGCTTTGAAACAAAAAACATGTCGATGTCCTCTTTAACACTGTTACGTCTCCGTTTGTTAATTAACTTTCCGTAACTTCGTTCCGACGAAACTTCAGCGACACAAGTTCTT